CAGCTTTGCCAATTGGATTGTAATTTGCTACAGTTTGGAGTATAGTGTTAAATCTGGTTTGTGCCCTGTATACAATAGAAAGAAAGAATACTAAAGAAAAAACAGTATACCATTCATATATCTTATGAGTTCTTATAGACATGTACAATGCCTCATTTAGAAGGGCTACAATCAAAATTGTCTTTGTTCATGCAGTAGAACATTCTGATATTTAGTTTATGTATAACAAGTAGTGCATGTTTTTTTTATATTGAAACTCACTGCACATGTTGAGAAATGTGTATATTGTAATTATGTGACGAGCCACTCTACTCTTTCATTCCAATTAGAATACAGAGTACAAAGGAGAATACTGGGCGGATCATCCTACAATTAAGATTTTCTGGAATGTATTTCATGAATTGCCTCTTGAAAAGAAAAAGCAGTTCTTGTGTAAGTATCCTACTCCTAGTGAGAATAGGGTGCTTCCTTTACCCTTACAGGTGCATACATTAGTTGTTTTGTTAGTTTGTTTTATGGATATATATCTCTTAAAGTAAAAAAAAAAAAATATATATATATATATATATATATATATATGTTTATACACACATACATAAATACACACTAATCAGCCATCACAGTAAAACCACTGACAAGTGAAGTGAAAAACACAGATTATATCATTACAATGGCACCCATCAAGAGGTGGGATATATTAGGGAGCAAGGGAACCGTTCTTGAATTTCATGTGTTTAAAGCAGGTAAAAATTGAATTTGACAAGGGCCAAATAGTGATGCCTGGATGACTTGGTCAGAGCATCTCCAAAACAGCAAGTCTTGGGGGCTGTTTCCGGTATGCAGTGGTTGGTACCTTCCAAAAATGATGCAAGGAAGGACAACCAGTGAACCAACAGGGTCATGGGTGCCCGAGGCTCATTGAGGCTCACGTGGGGAGTGAAGGCAAATTGCTGAAAAACTTAAGGTCACATAGTGCACTGCAGTTTGCTGCTTAAGGGGATTTGAAGACCAGTCAGAGTGCTCGTGATGGCTCCTGTCTTCTGCTAATAGTGCCTTTAATGTGGATGTGAGCGTCACAGCTGGAACATGGAGCAATGGAAGACAGTTGCCTGGTTTGATGAATCATGTTTTCATTTAGATCAGGTTGATCTGAGTGCGTGTGCGTTGTTTACCTGGAGAAGAGATGGATGTACAATGGGAAGAAGGAAGGCGGAAGCAGTGTTCTGCTTTTGGCAATGTTCTGCTGGGAAACATTGAGTCTTTGCATTCATGTGGGTGTTACTTTGACACGTACTACCTACCTAGAGATTGTTGCATGTATACCCATTTATAGCAATGGTGTTCCCTGATGGCAGTGACTTCTTTTATCAGGATAATGCACCATGCCACACTGCAAACATTGTTCAAGAATGGTTGGAGAAACATGAAAAAGAGTTCAAGATGTTGCCTTGGCCTCCAAATTTCCCAGATCTTTATCCAATTGAGCATCTGTGGAATGTACAGAAGCAACAAATTTGATTCATGGAGACCCCACTTCGCAACTTGCAGGACTTAACGGATTTGCTGCTAATGTCTTGGTGCCAGATATCACATGACACATTCAGAGGTCATGTGGAGTGCATGCCACATGTGGCTGATCAGTGTATATAAAGTGACCTACATTTTCATTTGTCAACTTTAGAGCTATAAACTAGAACATATTACTTGTATTTGCATTCTGAGGTAGTGCTGAATCTATCCCATACATATGTGTGCAGTAGTGTTTCCAGACACTGCAGGGGTTTCTGAGAGTTCTAAATAAATCGCTGACTTGTAGAAAGTAAACAACAAAACACATCCTAGTTACTTTTCCTATGCAGTTTCTAATGTGGAGTCTGTCTTGCCAGAATAGTTGTGGTTTATTATATTGGTGGTTGCATTTTTTGTTTTTGTTTTTTTTGTTAAGCATGATTTGGTTACAACCAGATGTCTAAAGTTGTCACTGTAGGATTTCATGAATTGTATTGCCCAATAGTCGGCCTAATTACTCATCCAGAGTGAAGATGTTTATCTAGGTAGCCAGTGACCCTTCCGAAACTTGTATGTGACTTCTCTGCTTTAACAATTTTAATTCAATTTATTTATTTTTTTAATTATTTTGCAGTATTCCTAACTGGCAGCGATCGAATCCCTATTCTTGGAATGAAAAGTTTAAAACTTGTCATCCAGCCAACAGGAGGAGGAGATGATTTTCTGCCTGTTGCTCACACATGCTTTAATCTGCTGGATCTTCCCAAATACACAGATAAAGAAACTCTTAAATCTAAATTAATTCAAGCCATAGATCATTACGAAGGTTTCAGTCTCGTATAAAATTAAATTACTCTGGAATCGCTATGTAACTAGTTGTGTGTCTCTTGATTTATTATTAACAACTGGGGAAGTCTAACACCAGATTTTTTTTCTATGGATATTCATCAGGTTTATAAAGCCATCTTTGTGATTAAAAAAATTGTACAGGCTGTGCTTTTCAGGCACGGCATACATTTGTTGTACATAATTCTGTCTTGTTTCCATCTTTAAATAAATTAGTTGTACTCTGCTTACACATATTTAAATACTCTCATTAATGGGTTATATCACTCAGTATTCTTTTCTCCACCCACACTTTGCCATCTTTCTCCTGCAGTGCTGCAATAAAGTGTTTTTACATTATTTTGATTTCATATTGTTATTGGTTTAATAGGCCTATAGTTAATATATAATATGGTTCTGTTTTTTATTTTGGAATTCACTTGTTAATGGGTAAGCAACGTGTCATGATTCAGTTCTGGTTGACCAAGCAAAGAAATGGGCCTGTGACATATTAACTTCTCCTGTAGAGAACAATTGACCAAGGAAATTTCACAATGGGGAAAAAATGGCCTATAACATATAACCGAATTAGGTTTCTAATGTATTCTGGGTTGCACGAAAAAGAGGAGTTATATTTAGTGGATATAAGTCACGGAGAGAGGATGGGATAAATATCCCTAAATATTTAACATATGGCATTAAGTGGAGAAGAAGTGCCCAGTTCTCTTTTAATTTGTGAAAATATTGGCAACACTGTTATACCAAGAATAATCTTAAAACCAGAGGCCTTTAAAAGGCTAAGCAAATGTGGTGTTGATTGCTGGGAGCTAGAATGGAATGTCATCCACAAAAGCAGCCACACGAAGATCCAATCTAAACCCATGTATTCTATGTCTCAAAGAGCTGTATCAAATGTTTCAAGGCCATACTAGAAAACAAGGGGATTTCCCGGTCTAGTTCCTCACTCTAGGGAGAAGATGGAGGACTTAAGGCCATTCACTGCCATCACCACCCAATGGGTAAGAATAGAACAGCCTAAAAGAAACTCCCTCCCAAAGACATTTTTATTTATATTAAAACAAAAAGCCATATTCCCACAAAATTCTATCAAATTCTTTGCGGCATCACAGCTAGTAGTGATTGTATATTTTGTTTTGCTATAGTGAGCTATTGCAACAACTGACAAGAGATTAGTACATTTTAAGGGTTACTCCAACACATAACTAATTTATTTGTTTTAACCTAATGCAATATCTAGCCACCCCCTACACAGTGAGATCACCTTTCTAGAGGCTCTAAAGTGAAGTATGTATTGTAGGTCTGTGGTAACTTTTAACCAAGTTAGCTAGAAGCTTCCTCTTGTTTGTTTCTGAATATAAAGAAACCATTCCGTTACATTCATGTGCCAGCTTGGCCTTCTCTGTAATCAAGCTATCGAGGTTACTGCTTCCAGTTGCCATTGCTGCAGAATAGTTGTGTGTGTGCTTTATATGCAGAAGCAAGTTGTTTTTGTTGTTGGTCAGTAACTTAAAGGATCACTATAGAGTCAGGAACACAAACATGTATTCCTGACCCTATAGTGTTAACACCACCATCTGGGCTCTCCATGCCTCCATAAATATAGCAAAATCTTACTGTATTCAAGCCTGAAGCTGCACATCTGCATGCTGTTTGCCTCAGAAAAACAAGCAGTCTGCTGACATCATCAGAAGTGGTGGCCTGATCCAATCACAATGCTTCCCCATAGGATTGGCTGAGACTGGCAAAGAGGCAGATCAGGGGCAGAGCCAGCATGATTCAAACAGCCCTGGCCAATCAGCATCTCCTCCTAGAGATGAACTGAATCAATGAATCTCTGAGGAAAGTTCAGTGTCTGCATGCAGAGGGTGGAGACTCTGAATGTTTGAATGCATTTTAGGCAGCCATGACCCAGGAAGGATATCTCTAACAGCCATCTGAGGAGTGGCCAGTGAAGTTATCACTAGGCTGTAATGTGTTTGCACAAAAAGCCTGAAGGTAATGATTCTACTCACCAGAACAAATTCAATAAGCTGTAGTTGTTCTGGTAACTATAGTGTCCCTTTAAGTAGTAACTTCACATTCTTCTGGGCCAGAAATTACATTATATGCCCCCTCGTTACCAGCTTAGACAGGCTCCAGGAAAGTGTTGGGAATTTAATTCTCTGTAGTTTTAACAACTCACTTCAAGATAAGATTTAAAGATGTCTGTGGTAGAATATGCGGAGGGAAAAATCCAATTGTATTAAAAGTGACATACAGGGAAAAAAGTGAAAGAGCACAGCCCGGTGTGACTATGTTGTCAATTGTTTTGTTCTTTTTTTTCTTCCAATTTATTTTTTAACCCCTTAAGGACACAACTTCTGGAATAAAAGGGAATCGTAACGGAATATTTCCGTCATGTGTCCTTAAGGGGTTAAATGTAACAAATTACATCACAAGTCAGTTCAGTAGGCATGGTTGGGGGAATACATTGTAAAGAAGCAAAAAAAAAAAAATCAAAACCTTGTTTAATTTTTCCTTTTTCTCTGTATGCTCTCTCTGTGCTGAACGTCAGGTGCAAAGCTTATAACAATGATTGACGGGAAGCTAATACATGGCTGTACAGTTGCAAAATACAGGTTATTTTATTATTTACACCTCTCAAACACCATCTGCTTAGGTTAAAGTAAATATATATCATAAAATTATTTTTGAAGGTCAAAACACTGAAAATCTAATACTGACATAACATTTCTGACTCAAGGCCATAGCACTTCTTCAAATGTAATATTTTTCCCCACATGCTGTAGAAAGCAGTTATATTGAACTAAAGGCAAAATTGGGAAGATTGTATCATAAGTAGACATAGATCTTTTATTTTATTTTTTTCTGAAATAGGCTTTAATGGTTATTTTTTGTACATTTTCTCATTTTGTTTTTCCGGCCTTAAATTTATCAGCCTGTATAATCTGTATCACTTCGGAAATTAAATACAGTATATAAATGGTGTTTGGAAGAGCTGTCACTAGACTGTTGTGGTTGAACAAAATGTGCTGTTAAGAGATTCTTCTCCCCAATACCTCGGAAAGGTCAAGAACAGATCACCATATCTCTCTTACCAGGGAACCCCAGATATCAATGGATACCTGGGGCTCCACTCTGCTGGGTCCATATTTTGTAACCCCAGACTCTTGAGCTGAGCTTGCAGCACAGAGCCCTTTAACTCATTCATAATACTGCAGGGGAGCAACCGCACTCAGGCACAGTTTATCTGGGCTTCAGGCAGCTCTGCTGCCTGGGGACAAACTGGTAGGGTTTTTCAGCCTGCCCCCAACCGATTGTGAGCTGTGCTGGACTTAGTCAGGTTCCCAGCTCTAATCTCCGTGTAATCCTGAATGAGTGATTCCCAGCCACATATACAAAGTGCAATTCTGAAAATGGCCAGTAGATTGTGGCAACATAGCACCATCTACTGTTCAATACAGTAAAACCCAGTTCTAATATCAAAATTGATATTAGCAGTGGGTTACATTAGGGTTAGGGGTAAGAGTAGGGTGGGATACAATTAGTGTTGGGGTAGGGGTAAAGTTAGGGCAACTGCTGGGCAAAAGTTAATGCGGTTTTAGGGTTAAAGATTATGTAGAGTTAAGTGTAAGATTAGGGTTAATTAGTGTTAGTCTTGGCTTAGGGTATATGATTGGTATATCTTTAGTGGGGAGGGGGGTGGGTGTATAGGGTTAGTGGTAACTATAAAAATTTAATTTAGATCCTAAACAGGTTAGGCTCTAAATCCTTAAAGGGACACTATAGTCGCCAGAACAACTACAGCTTATTGTAATTATTCTGGTGAGTATAATAGCTCCCTTTAGGCACTCATGTAAACACTGCCTTTTCAGCATTGGATTGGCTAAAAATCAGCCATTTTGATGATGTGACAAAGGGGGCGGAGCCAGCGCCCGGCAGACCCGCGAAGGTGAGTTTTAAACTTTTATAGAGGGGCTAAGGGGTGACAATCCACCTAAATGGTGGTTTTAGCACTATAGGGTCAGGAATACATATGTGTTCCTGACCCTATAGTGATCCTTTAAGGGGTTAACAGTAAGGACTGATACATTAATCTATTTTGAGTTCTTTTTAATTAGTTGCATTGGATGTTTAAATTATGAGCAAAAATGTGGAAAGATTTGTTTTTTTTTCCCCTTCAATGTTTTTCCCCATTTTTAAACATTTCATCCACATGTAATGTTGCGTTAGGTATATATCTAGATTGTTAAATGAAAGCCCTTTCTGTCCTAAAAAAAAAAAAAAAACACACAAAATGACAGCAAAATTACCTGTAGCTCAAAGATTTTTTTTTTTTGTTTTGTTTTTTTTAAATTCAGAATGTGAACAATTGCCTCCGTCCTTAAAGGGACACTATTGGCACCAAGACCACTTAATCTCACTGAAGTGATCTGGGTTCAGGGTGTTATGGGCAAATGCAAATATTACAAATTTTAGAATGAAATGTTGTATTTCTTAAACTGTGTACTTTGTCTTTAAGAGATACTGCAAATTGACAAAGGTGTTAGAAATGGAACATATTGTTTTTCATAACTGTTTCTTTAAGCAATAACCTAATAAGTGCATTATATGTTTACGCCATTTTGTCCCAGACAAAATACAACAATAATAATGCATAAACCAGCTTCAAGGCTATGCTACAAGTCTTTCAGTACATAATATAAAGTGGTAACCCTAAGTAGATAAGGACATTCAGACTTTAAGATGCCATCTTGACCTAAGCCAAGAAAATTTCCATGACGTGTACACCCTTTAGTTATGGCCTTGTATGTTTGCCAAGTTAAGGGAGGTCCTAAAATGAATAAAGTAAAAAGTTACTTTTTAATTTATGAACTACAGTGACCCTAAAATGGAGACACCTAAGGTATAAATAGGTGTACTTTTAAATGTTAAGACACAGAGGAGAGACTTGGAGACAGACGCTGCTCCATCTTAAAATGACAGAGAGGCTGACATGATGCCATGTTCAGAAGGGTATGTTAACCTATTAATGATATTTGCAAGCATTTAGTTTAATCTTATAAACTCTGCTATAATGGATTTTATATGTCTATATTTATATTTTTATATATCTAAAAGACAAAACTTTATTGCTTCCAAGACAATCCTTATTTTATATTGTATTCTCAATTATTTATGTATTTTAAATAGAGGATCTCTTACTAACTATATAATATTATGGCTAAGATATCTGTATGGTTAGCCCTGCTAAGTTCTATGCTTTAACACGTTATAGTGGTAAATAAGGGAACCAGCCTTGGTTTCAAGTGTCCCTTTCCCACTTAGTCCTGCAATGTAAAACATTGCATTTTGAAAAAACGCCAATGTCTCCATTGTAGGACTTCGACTACATGTAGTGCGCTTCCTAGATTGTAATGGAGTTTGACTACATTAAACGACTGTAAACATTTTAAGTACTCTGCCTGCAGGGGCTGACTTTAGACATTAAGCTGTAGTGGTTCTGGTGACTGTAGTGTTTCATTAGGATTTCATATAACCTCTCCTCACCACCACAGGGTTTTTTCAGGTTCTTCCTCTTCCATTGGTGGGATAGAAAAGTCTAATTTTTGCACGTCCTATGCAACCCCACATAATCATTATGTATAAAAACTGCATGACAATCTTTGGTTTTCCATGTTTGGCATAAACATTTATTCAAAACCAGCTATTTATAAAACAAACAATTGTATTATTAAATATTAAATAGATTGAAAAAAAAATATTGCAATTTCCAAATGTTAAGCAGTTCTTTGGCACTTTCACTAGACAACGTCACATCGTTTTTTTACATTTCTACCATTATGGGTCTTGGTAAACCGCATTTCATCTTCTCCAGTTAGAGCCAATAATCATATGCAAGTCAAGATATGAAATGTAATTCTTACACAGATCATTGCACTATATTTAAATTGAACATGTAAGTCTATAAAGAATACATTTTCTCTTAAAGCACAATACGCTCTACTACATGTTAATTGATCGATACACATTTTAGAGGTATATCATGATTACACACAGAAGTAAATGAAATGAACATATCTTTTCACTGTATCAGAGTGAAGTTATATTTAGATGTCCAGCAACTTATATTAGCTTATATTATCCTATAGTTGCACACACACATATACAAAAAAAAAAAAAAATACATAGAATAGTATTTTACACAAACCATGTGCTATTCACAAGATCATTGATTTAAAGAAAAAAAAAAAAGGAAGAATAGAGAAGAGAACACAGTCGAAATGTATAGTACTTAGATTTCATAATTTCGGAATTTACGAAGAAGATCGGAAGGAGCTTCAGCAGACCAACGGAAACGCAAGAGGCCATTAGCCATGTCTTTACTTCCTGCAAAATATCAACCTTTTATTGAATAGGCATGCAATAAGACAGGTATAGAATTTATGATTTCAGTAGTACCCCTGCTGGACTTCTACAATGACATCTACTTGAGTGGTTTCTAACCCAGTTCTCAAGGCATCAAAAACCAAGGCTTAGGCATTTCCGAGTGAGGATACTGACAAAAAGTGAATCATTGGTGTGCCTCAGGGAATGATTTGAGAACCACTGGAAGTCAAGTTAGAAAAGTCACAAGACCAATAAGAGACTTGTTTGATTACAATCATCATATTGAAAGACCAGTTGAGTTTGCCTACAGTCCACGTAATCCCTACCCCCTCTTCAACCTTGAAAGCTGCCATATTGAATAGATAACATTATTACTCATCTGGAATCCAGCTTCACTTGCCACGCCTCTATTTGATGTCACAGGCGGTTGCACCAAGTTCAATCCCAGCTTCTCATAGAGAAGCCTGTGAATGGAATGATTCGGTTGCTCAGAGTGCACGCACTCGGGCCGACAATTTCTCCCAGTTCTTAAATGGAAGGAGGGGAGATGAGAGTATTCTCCCCCCTTGCAGGTACTCTGCCTGCAAGGGTAAGATATTTACAGCTGTCAGCAGCATGCTATGCACGCGGGCGACATTAGCAAAATATACACAGAATTGACGTTTGGCACCCGGGTGCTTTGCCTAAGTCACCTGTGCTGCTCCTAGCACACAGTTAACACAATCTCAATGTGCAGTGCTTAAAGATGAAACACTGCACATACATAGTCCTACCACCATGACAACTTCAAGTCACTGAAGTAGTCATGGTGGTTGGAGTAACCCTTTAATATTGATTTGCCATAATGGGCATTTGAGAGTTTCCGGATGTTTGACTCACAAAGAACCAAAATAGATGAGGCATGATGATTAGTTTAGAATTTCCATTCACCCAAAACATTCTTTAGAAGCCCATATTGCATGGACAGGGATGTCATCCATGAGTTTTGTGATGGGCAATTGTGGGTATAATACACATTGCTACATTGTATTTCTTTAAACTGCAACTGTTTCTTTAACTAATAACCTTTTACCTATTTACAGTACACAACATGTTTACTCCATCTTGTCTTAATTTAATGCAATAACAATTCAAGGATATGCCTATGTCATCCTAACGTCTAGTCCAAATACAGATTAAAGATGTCTAGGTTATGACATTAGACTTATTTTGTTATATGACCTTCTCTTAACCCTAAGGTGTATGTCAACCTAACTTCTAGTCCAAATACAGATTAAAGATGTCTAGGTTATGACATTAGACTGATAAGGGTGTTTTTCCTTTATTTTTATATATGAACTGCTTTTAACCCTAAGATGAATTAACCCATACATTACCAGTAGTAATTAGAAATGCTATACTATATATACATGCTAGATCAATGCTAGATAGAGACATACTGACCGACTCTGGAGGTGACATACTGAGAGATTACCTGTATAATCAGGAGGGTATGTTATACTAATTATATTGCAAGCATTTATTCATTTAATCTTGTATACTCTGCTTTATGATATATTAATGGATCTTTATTCATTTATCCAATAAACTATATTAATAAGACAAAAGTTATTGCTTCCAACTCCTATTTTTATTGTATTCTCAATTATTTATGTATTTTAAATAGAGAAACTCTATACCGACTATACAATATTTAGCTAAGATATCTGTATGGTTAGCCCTGCTAAATTCTAAGTTATAAGACGTTATATCGGTAAATTGGAGTACGAACGGTTACAGTTTGTTTCCTGTAATTCTTGGTTTTTGTTTTAGCCATTGTGCATTACAGGGAACTCTAATTAGTAACAGGAGATACAGGTCATTCTACCCTAATAAGGACACATCATACGGAATACAAGATCTAAAGCTGTAATCAAGCAGTATATGGGAATTCCTAATAATTTAGATATAATGCTCACTATCCCCAGGTCTCATGACTTGGCTCACCACCTGATGAATGTAATAGCTAATACTGTATAGGTGTATTACCATCTTACAAGATGTTACCAACTACAATATGCACACTGAAAAACACGAAAGCACAAGAGGGAGGAGGGGACAAAAATAAATAAATCTAGACTGTAGTGCGATATTGAATACCCGTCACAAAATGATTTGAATAATGATTATCAGTTTGGAAGATCACCATTTGTTTATAGTGTACTAAATGTAGTGTAAATTCTGTGTTTACAGGCTGGGATCTTAAAACCTACAGTATATTGTGGTGTGTCAAACGAAGTTCTGTTTTTGTGCATGTTACCCGATGTATTCATGTAGAGTTTAGATGTTAAACATTTATTTTTTATTAAATAGATAGTAAAATCAGATTGGGATCAAGACAGAAATACAAGCCAGACAATTTTATAGTTCAGATTTTCTAGATATTATCTGATAGATGGATATTCGATTGAAAAAAACAAACATTTTCTGTAAAAATGTCTAAAATTCAAAAGTCATATTTTCTCACCTTCAGGGCTTTTGGGCGATAGCAAATCAATGTCTTTTGGGGTTTCGTTTGACATGTCCTTTTCATTGATAATGTCACTTCCTTTTTCTCCAGAATTAAATATAATGGAGTCAGAATCATCATTTTTTGGATTAGTTAGAGGAGCCTCTAGCATTGGTTCTTTCTGTTCTCTAACTGCCCAATGCATGGACTAAAGAGAGAAAAATAAATAAAAATACATGTTAGTACATAACTAAACTGTTCCTTCTTATTAATTATGGCGCATGCCATATGTGTGAACGAATCATAGAAAACAAACTGATTCTCTCTCTCTCTCTCTCTCCTGGTTAAATACTGCAGTTTTTACCCTAACGTTTACGTAGTGCATAAAAAACCCAGACAATAATCTGTTACACCTGAGCAAATAGAAAGACATGCATTTGTATGAATTATATCCCATGTGACTAATGGCAAGTGGTCTGTCAATTCTTCTAGAAAATGCACACAAACTGTGTCAACATGTAGAAAATAGCTCAGACTGCCGGCAGCCTATAGTTTGTTTCCAGCATCCATGCATAACTAAAAAAAATAAATAAAAAATGGATATCCCTTGGCAATATTGTTGCAGACAAGTTTCAATGACAGGATTTTCAGTCAGCAAATCAACTAAATGATTTCAGAAAACCGGCACAGTAACTGCACTTCAAAAGGATAGCCCTTCGTGGTATATTCAAGGCCAGTGACTGATGGTAAAGATGTAAATAGAGATGGGACGCTGCTTGACTTTGCTCTAAGAATTAGACTCCACCTATTTAACACCATGTACTCAACCCTTGACCAATCAAGAGGTAATGTCTTATTCAATACCATAAAGCTATAGATACACATGTTTATTTCTAACACACACACACACACTTGTCATTACTATTTCACAACCAGTAGATTTCACTCCCTCAACAAAACCAGGATATGCATACCACACCTATCCTCCATGGTTTCTGTGACAGAGCTAGGGTTACATTAGTAATTGAGGTAGGTCACAATAGCTGTAAGCACCAAAGAATGTTATTTTGACATTTATATAGAAGCTGCAGCAGTAGCCCAGCACAGTAGGCATTGCAAGCATTAGCCATCTCTTGTGTATGACGGAGATTGACCTACGACTGCCTAGACAAGGTTGTGCAAGTGTATGTGGAGGGGAAAACCTTATTAACACACCCCTTCTAAACAAATGTACCAAAACAGTACACAAAATACAAAAACAGCACGTGGGAATGACCGAGATTGGGAAATATTTACTATGTTGCAAGGAACGAGAAACCGGAGGATTCATTGCCCTCTGACTCCCACCCCATAAAAACAAATGCTTGCACAATTACACATCACATACAAAACATTGCTGGGAAACATTTGTCAAGCTGAAAAGTCAGATTTAAATGCGCAGATATACTTAACATGCACTTTTATTCATTTCTTTTAAATTTTGCTTTTGAAACATGTTAAATTAATTCCAGGCACAGACAATTGTTTGGGTATTTCATATACTGGATTACTCAGAGAATAAAATAAACAGTTAGAACTCCCATGATGCTTTGTCAGTTTCTTGTTAGAAAATAAAGTTATACATCACCATTTTTAGGGAATCATGCAGGGCTTCCCATTGCGAATATGGAATCATGATTTTGCTTCGCCTCCAGTAATCATACTGAGCTCGACTAGCCTCATTAGTAAGAGTTTCCTTGGCCTGTTGTAGCTTCTGGAAATCTTCCACTACAAATAAAAAAAAAAAAAAAAATTTTTTTTTTTAAAAAAAAAGAAGGATTCATGTAAAGCTTATGAAGTAATCTAATAAAAAGAAAAAAAAAAAAAAAAAAAGTAAGAATTTTAAATACAGTTGTCACAAGGTGCAAACCACAAGGGGCTATGATGAGCCTCTGCAAACACAACCCCAAACATTGAGTGAGAACGAGAGAGGATCTACACCTCCTGTGAGATTAGAGCAGCGATAAATGTTATTTTTAAAATGTATTACTGCTCGCATACTTCGTTCTCATGAATGCCTTTAATAATTAAAAAAAGAAAAAAACACCACACTCGTAAATGTGATGGTTTTACACTGTTTCTGAAATGATGCCAAACTTTTTTTTTAAAGCAGTGCTAAACAGATACCCATTGGAGTACCCACCATAGCACAGACCAGCGATAGACAACCTTCGGCACATCTCCTAGAATGCCCTTGTAGCCACAATACTGGCAAAGCATCAAGGGAGATGTAGTCCACAACTTCTAGAGTGCTGAAGGTTGCCTACCCTTGGCATAGACATTTCCAATCAGCAGTCATGAGGGCAACATGTTACATTGATTGGCTAATCAAGAATATGATCCCGTGTGCGTTGTATAATGTTACTCTGTAGCATAGCCTGTACAAATACAGATCATTAAAAAAAATATATATGTGAATATACCTGCTTTTTTGTTTCCAGGTTGCTTGTCAGGGTGGCATTCAAGGGCTCGAACTTTATATTCTGCAAGAATTTGCTCAACCTAAAAAAAAATAAAATAATAATTACCAAAATGTGTACTGTAATATTATACTTTATTAGTGTCCCAGGGATTACCTGCCATTAGTAGCATACAGTGCTTTCATTGGAGTTTAAGATGATATGTATTGACAAATGAAGGTTGGTACCCAAGTACACTGTAAAACAGCTTTTTAAAACTGTATTCCAAAATTAGAGTGTGCAATGCCAAAGACCTCACTCAGGTACTTACCTATTTCAGACTTTATAGGAATAATTAATAAGGTGTTGGTTTACAGTAAAACTCTTACTGAGACTGGTTTTTAACATGTCCACAATATCAGGATCCATCATGGGACCAGGACCCAAAGATCTCTAGTAAATACCTATGCTAATACAGGAACATTGTGACATTCTGGTCACTCGATGGGTCCCGATAACACTTTAAAGAACAAAAGTAGTAGCAAACAGGATTGCTGATAACCTTCTCAATGGTTAGTTCTCATTTATGTTAAACAAACAGACCACCCCTGCTCCTCCTGCCTCCTACCACCAAATCAATGAGAGACCTTGAAACCATGTTTTATAAACAAACAATCACTCGGGTGCTTGGAGTCACGCTATCCTATATTTACTAAACTGCATGTGAATAACTATGGTGTGCCGACCACAAGATATTAGCATTTTCTTTTTTTATATTATATAGGTCATATCCCAATAAAAGGTCTTTCATACCCTGACCTCCAAAAGTACTGGGTGGAAATATCTCCCTTCCCCTTCACCCAAGATGTGGAAACCTGACTGGCTCACAGGAACCCCACAAATGTAGGAGAGTGCAGCAACTATGTGGGGAGGTGGGAGGCACCCATATTACTATGGGCAGTGATGTTAGGGTCAGTTGTTTTGAGTTGATATTCCACTTACTTATGCTCTTACTCCAAGACAAAGGAGAGGATATAATGTAAAAATACCTATTAAACTGGATAGGTTAGTATAATCACCTCCCTTATTTTGATAGTGGGTGAATATTAAAAAGTAAATGGGTTAATATATGCCCTAACCCCCTACTCGCGAGGAGAGTCCCAGTGGATGCAATATTCATGCCAGCTCTTCACAGTTAATGTCTCAGAGTTAGTCAAAGTTAAATTAGGCATAAAACGTGGCTTCCAAAATCATTGCTCATATATTCCACACTTTTTTTTTTTAAAGCATTAAAAATGAAGAAAGTTTGTGTTGACACAATGACTACTATACAAACTAACCATAAAAAAAAAAAGGGGTACTGGTGTGGTACGATCCTTGGAAATGGGTACAGCTAATTGTAGTAATTTATTTTTAACATCAGGAAAAGGTTTCCGAAGACACTGATGCTTCCCCCACGTGCCCATAAATTTAGAGGGTGAAAAGGAGATAGCTCTGTTATCTTAAAGGAACACTATAGTCACCTAAATTACTTTAGCTAAATAAAGGAGTTTTAGTGTATAGATCATTCCCCTGCAATTTCACTGCTCAATTCACTGTCATTTAGGAGTTAAATCACTTTGTTTCTGTTTATGCAGCCCTAGCCACACCTCCCCTGGCTATGATTGACAGAGCCTGCATGAAAAAAAAAATGGTTTCACTTTCAAACAGATGTAATTTACCTTAAATAATTGTATCTCAACCTCTAAATTGAACTTTAATCACATACCAGATGCTCTTGAAGGGTCTAGCAAGCTATTAATATAGCAGGGGATAAGAAAATCTTAATTAAACAGAGAATAGGGCTCTATTTACAGGAAGTGTTTATGGAAGGCTGTGCAAGTCACATGCAGGGAGCTGTGACTAGGGTTCATTAACCCCTTAAGGACGGAGCCAAATGTACACGTTGTGAACAAAACAAAATGTAAACAAAACCTGGCATTTGCGCTACATGTCTGTCCAACCGTAATTCACCTCTTTCATAGTAAATGCACCCACCCTTATTATATATCATTTTATTCAGGGGAAACAGGGCTTTCATTTAATATCAAATATTTAGCTATGAAACATAATTTAATATGAAAAAATGGGAGAAAATACGATTTTTTTAGTTCTACATGACATTTTAACGGTCAATGTCATAATACTGTTTGCTTTTACTGCAATAAAAATACACATATTTGTATTCAGTAAAGTCTCACGTGTAAGACAGTACCCCCTATGTACGGTTTTATGGCGTTTTGGGAAGTTACAGGGTCAAATATAGCACGTTACATTTGAAATTGAAATTCGCCAGATTGGTTACGTTGCCTTTGAGACTGTATAGTAGCTCGGGAATGAAATTTACACCCATAATGGCATACCATTTGCAATAGTAGACAACCCAAGGTATTGCAAATGGGGTATGTCCAGTCTTTTTTAGTAGCCATTTGGTCACAAACACTGGCCAAAGTTAGCGTTAGTATTTGTTTGTGTGTGAAAAATGCAAAAAACGCCAATTTTGGCCAGTGTTTGTGACTAAGTGGCTACCAAAAAAGACTGGACATACCCCATTTGCAATACCTTGGGTTGTCTACTATTGCAAATGGTATGCCATCATAGGGGTAATTTTCATTCTTGGGCTACCATAGGGTCTCAAAGGCAACGTAACCAATCTGGCGAATTTTAATGTGAAAAAAATGAAACGCAAGCCTTATATTTGACGCTGTAACTTTTGAAAACACATAAAACCTGTACATGAGGGGTACTGTTGTACTCGGGAGACTTCACTGAACACAAATATTTGTGTTTCAAAACAGTAAAAAGTATCATAGCAATAATATTGTCCGTTTAATGCTGTTTGTGCGTGAAAAATGCAAAAAACGTCACTTTTACTGGTGATATCATCTTTGTAATACATTTTACCGTTTTGAAACACTAATATTTGTGTTCAGCGAAGTCTCCCGAGTAGAACAGTACCCCCCATGTACAGGTTTTATGGTGTCTTGGAAAGTTATAGGGTTAAATATAGTGCTAGCAAATTAAATTCCTTTACTTTCGGCATGGGTTGTCAGGCAGGTCCCGCTAATTGTAATTAATTAAGATACCTAATTATGTAAAAATATTACATAAATATATATGTAGAATCAATATATGTATATATATACGTATGTGTATATATATGTATATATCTATATAATTTTTTAAAAATATTTTTATATATATATAGGTATATATATAGTGATATATACGTATATATTTATGTGTATAAATATATATATTATTTCGTTCTATGTGTATTTTGATATATATATATATATATTAATTTCACAATACAGTTAGAACGAAATAACACACATCTATATATTTTTTAATTATTTATTTTTAATTATTTTTGTAATTTTATTTTTTAACGTATTTACATTTAATTTTTTTTTATAATATATATAAATATATATATAACAATAATTATATATATATTTAATCAGTATCAGTCTACGTGTAATTTGATATTAATATATATATATAATTATATATATATTAATAGTAAAATACACCTAGACCGTGTACATGTGTGTATGTATATGTGTATATATATACTTTGATCATATATATATAATATATATATATGATCTAAGTATATATAATTTTATTTTTTTACACTTTTAACTTATTTTACTTTTATTTTCAGCCAGCAGGGGGACCCCCTGTAATTACAGGTAGCCCCCCTGCTGGCAATACAGAAGCCAGCTATACCCGGCCATGTGATTGTGGGGTCCTCGCTAGGACCCCACTCTCACACGGCCGGGGGGCTTCCTGGAGGACGGTCGTGCCGCGGGGGGCTCCCTGGGAGTCCCCCCCACCGCCATCGCCGGCGTGGGACCGCCGGCGACCGGGTAAGTACAGAAAGACCGGAGGGCGTACTATTACGCCCGGCGGCGTTTAGAGCCGCCTATTAGAGGACGTAATAGTACGCCCTGCGGTCTTAAGGGGTTAACAAAGGGATTTAACTCCTAAATGGCAGAGGACTGAGCAGTGAGGCTGCAGGGGCATGTTCTATACACCAAAACTGCTTCATTAAGCTAAAGTTGTTCAGGTGACTATAGTGTCCCTTTAAATGGGCACTTTGTGCAGGGAGACTGTGTTTACAAGATGAGGGTTTTTTAGTGAAGAGAAATTAGGCAAATGTGTTTGAGGGGTGGAAAATGCAACACAGTATTAACCTAGGACAGGGCTTGACAAATTTGCTTGAAATCTAGGAGCCAGATTTTTCAACGTAAAAAATACAATTCTTAAAGGGACACTATAGTCACCAGAAACACTACAGCTTAATGTGGTTGTTCGGAAGTCTATATACTGTCCCTGCACGCTTTTCAATGTAAACACTAACTTTTCATACTAAAGGCATGGTTTACATTGCTGTCTGGTAACACCTCTAGTGAGTCACTCAGACAGCCTCTAGAAGTGCTTCCCGTTTCAGTACTGCACAGCGTGCAGTACCTACATTAATGCTCCCTATAGGGGGGCATTGATTCAATGCATCTCTACGAGGAGAAGTTGATTGCGCAGCATGGCATTTTGCCGCGCATGCACAATTGTCTTCCTATCTTTTAGTATAGGAAAGCATTGGATTGCCTGAGATTAGCAAAACTGATAATCTCAACCATGGAGGTGGGTGCAGCTGCAGCGTCAAAAGCACAACATTGGAAAAAGGGCGAGTAGAAACACCTTTGTCATGTGATTGGAGGGCGCAGGTAACCTAAATATACACACACACGTCATTACTTTTATTATTTTAAACCCACCCAGCTTCCCTACCTTTAATTAGCTTTCCCCGAGGTCCAGTAGGGCTCCTGTCTTCTCTTTGCTCGGCTCCCTTAAATGCTGTTTAGAGCAGGGCCGGAATGATGTCATATTCAGGCTCCCAGCATTACAGGAGGGCGCGCAAGAAAGCAGAGCAGAGAGAATACAGCTTCTTCGCCGCCTCCCTCAATCAGCCGGCCGTTTCCTTCCCTCAGCTCTCAATTAGCTGAACATCCCCCTGGCTGCCAGCCTCAGCCCTGCGTGCCAGCCTCCAATCTCGGCCAGCCAGTCACCTCAGGGGCTGAACAGGCTCACAAATCCCAGACACCAGGACAAATTTCCTGGTCGCCATAGACAGGGGCCCCAGAACCCTAAATGTACTTGGCCCTATTCACCACCCCTATGTGAAAAATGTAGAGGAGCCCAAACCGATGATCTGCCTAGGGTCCTTTGGGAGCAGGTAAGCATTGTAAGTATTAGCCACTTGGGCCTTGAAGCGTTCCTCAGCATATGGAGAGTGTGAGCATAACGATATTTCTTATACTTTGGCATTTGGGGCGTGGAGGGGGGTAATGGGTGAAGCAATGTGGATGAAAATCAACACTTTTGTCCATTCATTAGAAGAAGGCACTAATGAACGAATTGCACAGACCTAAAATTTGTTTGATTAGTTTATCCTTGTAAATAGTTCATAAAATTAGTGTCCTTATGTGTTATTCCCATATATAAGGATACCACTGACAAAATAGTGTGTTTAGTCAATAGATCCCTCATTTGGTACACTTAAATATGGCAACCCCACATTAAGAAACCAATTTTATTTACTGAGCCATCAACTATTAAGGGAACACTGTACTCACTATAACCATCTCAACTCATTGAGTTGGTTATGGTGTCTGGAGTCCCTTAGCACTGACATTCAATTCGATGCTAAACCATTTGGAGCTGTTTAACACTAAACAGTTTCTGGCCACCACAGTTCAGTCCCTTCTGGAGATTACATACTTCCTTGTAGTCATACTCTTCATACTAGCAGTTGGAGATCTGATAGGCTAAAACAGTCAGACACTCTCAACCAATCACAGCTGCCCATTGCTGCTCAGATTAATACTTCCTCAGCCAACGCATCACAGAGGGAAGGGACTGCTCTTGTTTAGCATTAAAAACATACAAATATTAAAAGCGGTTTAATAACATGAAGCAGTTACAGTGCATACAGTGTCCCTTTAAACAGCTATTTCTAAACCACTGACAGATCATGGTATTCCATTGTCCAAATGGAAGTCCCAAAATGAAAATACTGGATACATTTCTTCCAAAACAAATCAACGAGTAGATAAACCTAGTTTTGGGTGAAATTAAATTTGTTTCAGACTAACCAAAAAATTCCATCTAGCACAAATCTAATAATTGTGCAGGTCCCTCAAAATAATATGTGGCTGCAGGTCCACCATCCTATTCCAATACTCACAAGTAAATAGTTTCAATTTGAGACAAAGTATTTATTTTTTTCCTCTCAACTTTCAGTAACCCAGTCCTAAATGATTTTATTTTGAGGGTAGTTTGAGAGACTACTGAAGGCAACTTCAACATGGATGCTGTCCAGGAGGTGGGAGGGAGGGTCTGCTGGAGATTGGCCGGGATGTGTCAGCTGACCGGAGCTCGCCGCGAACCAACTGTGGCGAGCTGTTCGTTCGCGACATCTCTAGTCTTAATATACAGCGCTCATTGAGTGATCTGTGCCTGCATAGCAGATCACTTTGATAGACGTTTCATTCATCTTCGAACATGCACAGCATTCCAGGCTTCCCCAAACTCCAGCCCTCCAGATGTTGCTGAACTACAACTCCCATGATTCTATGAATGAAATAGGCTGAGAATCATAGGAGTTGTAGTTTAGCAACATCTGGAGGGCCGGAGTTTGGGGAAGCTTGTTTTAAACCATCAATGAGTCCAGGCTTAGGTGGTCCCAAAATAGTCACGATTTACTCCTCTCTGCCAAAAATGGAGAAAATATAAATCTGACACGGTTTAATGTATTATGTATACATAGATGTGCGCAAGGTGTGCCCAAGAACATCAAAGTGAGTGTTAAAAAGCACTACACATTCATAGTTTAATTACCTACCTGCTATTTTATGTCATCTTTGGTAAGAAAAGAATAAAAAGTAAAAAAATCAAGAGAACAGATTAAATATACATATACCTGGCTTTCACTAGAGCAAACTGTTGGCATTTTCGAATATATATTATATTTATATTAAAAGATACAAAAAAAAAAAAAAAATGGGGAGGAGCAGCATATTTTAAGACTCCATGAAAAAAAAGTCATACAGTATTAGGAGTAGATCAAGTGCCATCCATAGAAATCACAATGAGTTTCCAGTGACATAGCAATAATTCTACATTGTAAATCCCTTTGAAACCTGTACCATCCCTTTTAAACTACACAACAGATTCAAGGGAAAAATAAATTAAATCTCATCATCACCATCATCCCCAATTAATATCTGATTTTAAATAATGTTAAAAGGTATACTTAAAATGAAGTATTCTCTGTATCCATATCGTCTGTTCCAACACTGATTATTTGAAGTATTACAATGCAATATCTTATAAGCTATAGAAATACGAAGTATTTCATACATACATTGAATTAATCCAATATATCTACATACATTGATCATATAACTGAAATGTTAATGTATTATTTAGTGGTTTGGTTTTCCCCCAGAGATCTGTTTTACAATGAACAGAGGTAACCCTTTGTCTGATGACGTGCTTACTATAGCTGTTGTGGCATTGTAAGCTTGTATGGTTTATCTTCGCTAAACTAAAATAAGGAATTAAAAAAAAAATAAAATAAAAAAAAAAATAGTGAGATGCTGAATATTTCAATACTTACTGTGGAGAGCTCATCACAGCCTAGGAGACTGTAATAGTCCTCAGATTCCAGACTGCAGGTAAGGATAGAATCCATAATCTTATCCATCATTCTATAGCAAGAACACCACCAGGCACCTAACATTAAGACACTGGAACAGTTAGCTCTCCTAACCTGGCTGTTTATATGGGAGGCTCCTCACTTGTTGCATTCTATTGGCACATCAATAGAGGAAGCAGCTGATCATCTTGCAATGCATCATGGGACTTGTGGTCCACAACAGCAGCCCCGTTTTTCCTGCTCTATTTTGGGGGGTTTTTTTGTTTTGTTATTTTGAGAAAACAGATATTGCCTCACACAAAGTTGGTGGATTACTGATTAGTGTTGTCAGGTAATTGCTACATTTATATCACCCGCCTGTTATGGCTGAAAAAAAAAAAAAAAACGAAATCATTGTGGTTTTTTCTCTAAAGTCTAAACAGTAAATATGTTTAGTGATTATGCATGACTAAATTACTGCTTTGAAATAAATTCAGTTTCATTCTGGGTATTTTAAGTTTTTTTATTCACTCTTTAGTGAGTAAACTATAAAATAATAACCCCTCTCCTGCTTGTAACATTCAGGTGGGGTATGGTTACTAAATGGTAAATCTGTAACTGCAAAGTGATTTTCTAAAAGCAATCACAATTAACCCGACTTGAACAATAGCAATACATGGGAAATTGTCCAACTCAAAGATTTCAAATTTATCAGCAGTTTTTAGTTTAATTGATTAGCAATTTTAGTTTGTTTGTTTTTCTTTGTTGGTTTTAAAAGTAGCCCTCTAATGTTAAACATAAATATATTTGTTTGCAAAGCATAGAGTGTTCTTTTTTTAAAATAAAAATGTAGATTACTGAGACGCCCTAGTTAAATCAAAAAATAATGCAAAAAGATACATTTATTCCAGCCCCAAGTCTCCTCACTGCAACACAATAATCTTTAGTAAAGAACATTAGGAACATTAAACTTTAACAAATATAAAAAAAAAATATATACCTTTTTGTCTCATTAGAGACATATTTGCCAGAAGTTTAAGGAAGCAAGGTGTTTGGTTAGAGTTAGGACCCACCTATGAGGACTGCCTTGGTGGCAGGTGGGCATACCCTCTCATGGCCATTGGAGGTAACTAAATAACCTCCATTTGTTTAAATATACAGAGGGATTTGGGAAAGAGCGCAGGTAAAAAAAATGTCTTTGGATTTTATTAAACTTTAATCCTTTGCTCCGATTGCAGTAAAACCTGTAAATAAAAAAAAAAAAAGTTTTACTTACTTTCAATTGCCCAAAGTGAAGGAGGGTGATGGCTAGGTACTCCTTGCAGTCCCTATGCATACAGTACACGCTGACGACAAAAGTGAAACACGCACAGAGTTGACAGTAGGCGCCAATGTCACGTGTGCTGGTTGTGCAACTAGCCCCCCAGCACACAGTTACTAATAGCTATGAATGTTCAGTGTTTCAAGCTAAACCACTGCAGATTCTGAAATAAAAATGAAATCTGTTTTTATATATTTTCTCCTTCGTTAAATATTTACAGAACAGTATTGAAAAAAAACTTTATGGTTAACCTGTGACTGATCAACTTTCCATCCGAAGCATTCAGCATAGTCTTGTGCATTCGGTTTCAAACCATTTGCGATTCGTCTGAAATTTGAGCATCCAGTGGCCATCCGAATCCCATAACTCGGAATCGAAATATAGATGTATCATGCAACAAACATAATGAAGAATGGACACACAGGATAGTTGATTCGTGATTTAAAGTTCCATCTGTTGTGCCCAAAAAAAAAAAAATAAAAAATAAAAAGGTGATTGCTGGGAAAAAAAGATCATTAATGGTTAGGGGACAGCCACTACATGATGATTTGATTCGATTTTCCACTGTTCCTCCTAGTCTCCTTTCTCTGAACCAAATAGCTGGAAAATGTGCCTATCAGTGTACTGCAAAATATATACGTAATTTTGTATTATAAATATATTTAGCAGTGAACTAATTGGCTTATTTTTGTGCCCTTTTGTTTTGTCCAAATCAATTTTTCTGAAACAATTGCATTTCTGAATTTAGTCCTAAGCAAAATACCATAAAATATGACGTGGATGAATTTCAGAGTATCCGAACAAAACTTTTTTTCTGATGAATCGATTGGGCCAAACCAAATATTTTCACCATACATAAGTCTGTTCAGTAGAGTAATTGCACTGAATAGCACCTGCTATGCAGAGCATTGGTTTGTTCCATATTATGTGAGCGACCAATCTGATTTTTTTTTAACTGTAGCTCAATATATAAGAACAAATAATAGGTATCAAATTAAAAAGAAAAAATACCTAAGCGATATTACAGATTATCAGACAGGAAATGTAAGGGACTCCAGAAAAAATAATAAACGCCAGAATATTCCCTTCAAAAGACAACAACATACTCAGAAAACATACCCCCAACGATTACCAACTAATAAATACCAACTAGGGAGATCAGATAGAAATACACAATGGGAAAAAAGCCGAAAAACCTCGACAGAGGCAATACAGAAAGATTCACAGAAAAAGAACAACAAAACAAATGGCAATCACATACTAGAACTCATCACTATAGATCTGTTGAACTTATACCATCCCATAATCACTCACCGTAATCACTCACCGACCCATATCAAGCCAATCATGAACCTATTAAAACTACCACTATGAACAATAGGAATCCTAACAAATATAGTGATGTAGTCAAAGAGGGAATTCAAAGGAGAGAATCAGGAAATGTTATAGAAAAAGATACATTTAACACCCTTACCCATAGACCTATTTCTCCACATAGTAACATAAGAAACACTAGCGTAAACACATCCCCCCTCCCCCCAGACACTCCACCATCACCCTCTTTTTTTCGGCGGGACCCAATACAAAACAGAAGGAAATGGACAGACAAGACCCAATCCTGGGACATACAAGGGAAAAAAACACAACGATCAACGGAAGAAGGCGGCGACAGAAGAAAGAGGAAAACAGCACAGAGAGAAGAGAGGCAAGACCTCAGTTTAGAAGGAATATTCAATCTAGCAGGCCAACCTTTAACTATGGGACAGACAGATATTTTTAAAAAGGGCCTTTAATTTGCCCCTACAGCCGATTTTAATTCCTTTGACTTTTTTGTAGACATGAATCTATTTATTAGAAAATGTTTTCAACAGAGCCAGAAATACAGAGTGATGAATATTTCCATACATCACTTAAAGAAAAATCCCAATTTTTTCCAAGACACCTGACTTCAAGCAAAATTAAAACATTTGAAACCATGGTGATGAAGGATGTAGAGAAATTTAGAAAAACAAATAAATATAAACACAATCTATCAATAGAAGGGAGAAAAGCTTTAAAGAATATAAAGAATAATGATAATCTAGTAATTAAACCAGCAGATAAGGGTGGAGGAATAGTAATCCTTAATAAAGATCAATATGTTAGAGAAGCAGAAAGGATACTCTCAGATTCCTCAACCTATCAGAAACTGACATATAATCCTACAAACGAAACTATAACATTTTTTAAACAATATGTGGATAAAGGAAAAGAAATGGGAATTCTTACTGATAAAGAACCTGATTATTTGTAGGTAGACAACCCAAAAATACTGGTCTTCTACCGAAAATCCATAAGAACGCAGAAAATCCTCCAGGAAGACCTATTATATCTGGAATCGACTCCATTTCTACAAGAATCTCTGAATACATAGATCCCATACTCCAACCAATAGTTATAAAAAAAATCCCACTTATCTTAAAGATACGATTCATGTCTTACAGATTTTGGAAAAATAAAATGGATACAAGGAAATCTATTGGTTATATGCAATGTAACTTCCTTATATAGCTTTATCCCTCATGACAAAGGAATGGCAGCAGTGAAATATTTTTTAGAGAAATCTGATTTTAAAATAGAACAAATAGAGTATATTTTAGAAGGGATTTTATTAATTTTAACACATAATTATTTTTGGTTTGAAAATACCTTTTATTTGCAGATTTGTGGCACTGAAATGGGCACCAAATTCACCCCCAGCTATGCCAACCTTTTTATGGCATTTTGGGAAGAAACATTTGTATTTACAGGACATCAGTGGGAGGCGAATTTGGTGTCCTATTGCCGGTTCATTGACGATATTTTTTTCATATGGACCGGAACTACGGAGGCCCTACAAGAGTTTCTCTCATGTCTCAATATTAATGATTATAGAATAAACTTAACCAGTTTTTTCAGTGAATCGTGAATACATTTTCTAGATCTAGATATCAGTATCCAGGATTCTACGATAGTAACTAAAAACTATTTCAAACCGGTAGATGCCAACAGTTATATCGAAAAAAACTGTTGTCATCACAAACCTTGGCTCAATAACGCCCCCAAGAGCCAATTTTTAAGAATTCGATGTAACTGTAAATTAGATATAGATTATCTAGAACAGGCCAATTATATTAAACAACAGTTCATGGAAAAAGGATATAACTAAGTACTTTTAGACCAAGAAATGGAGGAGGTAGGAAAATTAAAAAGAGAAAACCTTATCCAATACAAAAAAAGAAAAATTAGTTGACACTAATGAAGTCCCTTTTATTTGTAACTTTAATGGACAAAACAGACTTATACAAAAAACTATAAAAAAAAAAATTGGCATTTACTTAAGGACGACCCAATCTTAAATAAAATTTTACCCTCAAAATCCAAAATTACATATAGAGGAGCGAGTTAAGAGTCATTTAACCTCCAAAAAACCAAAGCACTTTATCCAAGATCTTAAAGGATTTTATGGGTGTGGCATGTGTCTCCCGTGCAAAATTACAAAAAGTGCAAAGACATTTAGAAAATATAGAACATATAATCCACAAGCCATATACTATAAAAGATCATCTTACTTGCCATACAAAGGGCATTATATACATTTTAAAATGCCCCTGTAATTTGATATACGTAGGGATGGCCATTAGACCTTTAAAGGTTAGGATCGCCGAACATATTCGCAACATTAAAAATGGTTTAGAAACTCACAGTGTGTCCTTACATTTTAAAGAGACTCACAATCAGAAGCCAGAAAATCTGTTTTTTTGTGCAATAAAGGAAGTAAAACGAGACTGGAGAGGGGGTAATTATATTGAAATATTGGGTAAAGAAGAAATGCGCTTTATTTATAATTTTAAAAACACTAATCCCCCAT